TGAACTGATTAGAGCGTCCCTTTGTAAGATATATCAGGGTCATGGGGCTCTTTGTAGTCTCTCAATGGTCAATACGTAACTATCCAGTGGTTTTGTGAATGGATTTCCTATGTAGGAATTGTTGATAGCAGTGTGCTATTATGTAGATAGGCCTGTAATATGTCGAGTAGTTCATGTGTAACCAGTCGGGCTATACACATAACTAGACAATATCTGAACACATCAATTGTACTCGAGTTTAACGAAAGGAACAGCACGAATCAAAGTTTCAACACTTGCGCTTAAATTTATACCTGCATGGTCACTAAGTGATTTTTTCACTGAACAGGATACCTGTGGTATTTGCACCTGGACGAATTTCTCACTGGATTAGAGTACTAGAACGTGGGGGAATCAGGTGGAGTGACGATGCACGTTGAACAAAGTAAGTGTATTTGCTAGCTACCACAACCCCGCCGCATATCCTTAAATACCCGGGGTTGGGGAGCGGCATACAAATTCCAAGGTGTGGGTAGGGACAACTCGAGTAACGACAGGTAGCTCATGCAGGGATACGATCTGTAGCATTCGTCTCTATAGACAGATTAACTTACTGTACCATAGGTCTCGTAGGACAGGTCGCGGGATATGATCCGTAGTATTAGTCGTTATATACAGATAATATTACTTTATTGATGATAACACACACGCTTTGATATAGTTCAAAAAGGAAGGTGTGCTTGTTCAGCTTAATGCGCCTTACATAACCGATCATTGTGTTGTTTACAGTAATAGGGCATTAGTTAATCGTGGGGTTGTAACAAGTTTTACGACTACTTCACTGTAATACCTAGATTTGGTTAAAACGAAAACTGTTTGTAAATCTCTATTGTACAAGGACAATTAAAAACTAGGAGTCGTATCCTTTATTTAAACACCCCGTGTACATGTAGCAGTACTTTATGTAAACACCCCGCGGTCGTGTAGCAGTACTTTATGTAAACACCCCGTGTACATGTAGCAGTACTTTATGAAAACACCCCGTGTAGAAGTTAGGTACTTTATGTAAACAGCCCGTGTAGCAGTACTTTACGTAAACAGCCCGTGTAGCAGTACAATATAGGTAGGTGTATCAATATATCTCCACAAGGAACCCTTGCAGGTCCGACACATGGTATAGGTTTCCATTAATAACCCCGCTCACGTACACTAGGTACGTATACGACCAACAACAAACCTTTTACACAGAGAGACAGACAAATTAATATTCCAACGTGACACCCGGCCGCCATACGTTAGGACAAAAAGTACAAGCCATCCGGGGGGGATCCGATGTCAATGCTGCCTCGTCTGGTTGAAAAACCCTTGTTGTTTGATTAGAGAATATATATATTCTTCACGTGTCACTTAACCGCACAGCCTTTATATGTAATCAGGAGAAAAAGCACAGATTGATTTTAAAACTCGTTTCATAATTTTTGTAAAAATTGTAAAATTTAGAAATATATAACTGATCGGTTTGGTAAGAATGTTACTAAAGCTATAAAGCTAACCAAATATAGATATTCGTGAACTTCACCCTTTTTGTTAGTACATTTGTAACTTTCCAAACCTACGATATTTACATGTCGCAGTTGATTCGGTATTCAAGAGTTTGTTCCGAACATCAAAATGTCCGTGATAGATGTGGACTGCTGACAGACATGCGTGCACAACAGAAGTTTTCAAGAGATGTCTATTGAAGAATACTAGGGCAAATGTTTTGTTTGTGTTCTGGCATTACTTGGTACCTGGATTCGACCTAGATATGTTGTCGATAAAGCAGGGGACGTAAGTAACCCTTCAGCAACATCTGTCTTATTCTTGTTTATTTTTCAAGGATCTTCATGTCACTTTTTACTTTGTTCATATTTTATCCCGGTTCAATGATTTTAATTTGAATTACGAGTTTGTCGATACTTCGGTATTCTCATGCTTTGGCACAACATTGTCCAATACGTGTAATGCCTATTGCGAAATACGTTATAGCAATTACAACAGTTGAACTAGCAATTGTAAATGAAGAGGTCAGGAGAACGGGGCTAGTTTGGCCACTTTTTAAGATCTGTTCATGAAACAGCACATGGATAAGTCATTTATTGGGTTCTACTCCATGTGTCTCTCTTGGGCCATTGGCATCACTTGATAGAATTTGGGGTTAAGGCAATAAAATTTCGCATTTGGCATTAAGCATTTGACAATAACCATTTCGCATTCTGCATTTGGCACCACGTCCTTCCATATATTATCGGTATAAATAAGAGGCAAATTCCATCCCTGTTTAGTTCTCTTGATTGTGGGCGTATAGACAAATGAATGGCTTTCAACCTCGCTCCATCTTCTCAGTCCCTTTAACCTCATTCTACCCCCTACCATACAGTTATCAATGATGGTCTGACGTCTGTAACCAGTAAATGTCAATGATTAGCCCACTCAACCAAGACAGTCTCTCCGTTTACTTATACTCATAGATAGAGCGATACTCTAACGACAGTCTCCCTCTAACTTTACAAGCAGAATGTACCGAGACACAGTTTAGAACCAAACTACCTGCTTTTATATTGAAAATGTAAGTGTTACTTTGGCTGCTTTAGAGAGTTAGCCTAGTCCAGTACCAAAGATCTTAACCACATGAAGACATGGTTAACCACAACATTCATCTCAGATGGAATACTGACTTATCCCAAAAAAATCCAATTCTCTTTAAAAAACACGAATAAAACGGGGGAGGGGGGATCTTTGTACTAAATATTGTACATTTTATCATATATTGTATCTTGACCATGTGTAAGATGAGCTTCATGCTCAATATGTTATCAAGAATAAATAAATCCTTTATTATTATTATTATTATTATATAAATGTTAAACGTAACTGTTTGACTATGATGAAATTACTGACTTCACACATACAAACGTTTGTGGAGGGAGCAGTGGCATACCACTTGCCAATGAAGTGTGTGTACGCCATTTCTATTTCCAGCGGTTCTTGTCGTGTATATGCGGTTTGCACGTTTGCTCTGATCTCCTCTAGATAATGTTCCCTACAGAACAGAATCATTCTCAAGGACTCGAGAAAGTTGCCTGCAGTTGTAATGGTAGCCATTGCTATTTCCCTAAAAGACAAATGGGGTTTCATACGTCACAGTAGATGTGACTTCTCGCTTCTGTTAACCTCAGCAGATCTCTGAACTCTCAGACACATGGGAGATGTCTCAAGTCTGATTCAACTACACTAACGTAACTCACACTCATATCCAGGTGAGTCGAAGTGTAATGTACCAGGTAATCACTTTGACACGTTTTTAAGGTTACCTACTATGCATTTTTATAAGTGTAGCCTAGTTTGCTCTAGTGATAAGATGTTACTATTACATCTAGTTTACCTGCAGATGCTGTCAATAAATATTTAAAAGAAAATCTTTCGGAGACATGTTGAAAAGGAAAATATATTAAGCATAAATGAACTGAATTCCTAATAATCTAAGATTTGATAGTAATGAAAGCAAGTCATTTGAAATCACTGATGCTTGTCAACATCTAGTGCTTGCATGGTCACCCTTGGTATGACGTGAACAGATAGGCATTGTACCCAACACAGACCCCCATTGTTACCACTCAGTGGAGTCAGGGCTGAAACTATGGAGCACCTGTAAAGGACAATTCAGTCGTGAAGTACGAGTTCTTTATAACGACATTCAATGTCGGATTATTAAGTTAACAATTTATTTGAAACACCAAAATACATCTAAGAATACGACATTCAAACAAGATAATAATTTTGTCTTTTTGTTGCCATATATTTTACCTAAATATTTCTATATAAAGAAGTATGTAATCAATGAATTTTTACAACTTAAATTCAGAGAGAAAGTTATCATAAACAAAATAATATCAACACTACCAAACTGCTGGTATCGTTCCAGTACTTGTCTATCTCCTCTAGAACTCTTGTCATGACGCAGTTCTCCATTCAGACAATGTTATTGTGCAGGATGATAATGCCTCTTCTAATTTTGCAGTTTATTGGACAGAGCACAGGTTGGATCCTCATTGATAACCAAAGATCAGATTGATGCGCTTGCAAGTAATGTAAACACTGTTGTTTCGGATGACCTTCATTGCCTTGCTCGTACTCAGCAAGAGTTATTTGCGTGGCTGCATTATTTTGTCCTGTTACTCCGCTGTACTGATTTCAATTTGCAGCACCTCATGATGCTCCCGTCTACTTGCCTAAAGGTGGCATTGTTGATTAGCACCCACTCACAGGCATTTGTTTCTATCAATAAAAATGGTCCTGACAATAAGAAGTCACACCCTATATCAATTTATATGTTGATACCTGATTAAGGTTAAAGTTAACTGATCAAGTATAAAGATACCTGAGCAGGGTTACAGATAGTTAGCTGATCAAGGTCATAGATGCCTGAGAAAGGTTATAGTTAACTGATCTTGGTCATAGATGCCTGAACAAGGTTATAGTTAACTGATCAAGGTAAAAGATAACTGATTAAATATGAGTAGGGTGTGACGTCTTTAATGTCAGGACCTTTTTTATTGACAGAAACAAATGCCTGTGTACCCACTGCCGTCTCTACAATAAAGCTCATACCCACACGCGTCTTCACAATGTTGTCTGCACTATTTATTGCTTACTAGTTCCTCCCTATATTTATCTCAAACTTCCTACCTGTTTGCAACTTGGTCAGAAGTTGGGGCTCTACGTAATTGCTCCGCCTTAGTCAATCACAGCTTCTAGCCTCGTCTGCCAATACACCCATAATATAATCAAGGTTGCTAACTCAGTCCCCCTAGTAAAATGACCCGTTCCAGAAAACATGAGATCCTTCAGATAAAGAATTTGTGATCAAAACATAGGTGCTTGTAAGGATATTTTTGGTCATTTCATCTCTTGAAATCTAAGTAATGATCTTAATTGTAGAACAGAATATTCATTGTAATAATTCAACAATAACATCTAAATAAACCTTCTAGTCTTTATTTTTCTAAGTTCATTTCATAACTTAATATTTCTGGAATTTAAAACCAGTAACAGCATTATCAAAAACTTATATAATTGTTAAGTTCTCATTATGAGAATTCACAAAATAATAAACACATCATCATAATATAGTAACCCTGGGTTTTTTCATCCCGGAACAAAACACATGCAGTTTTTATATATACCAAATCTTTAATTTATTTGTGAGTTTTCCCCTCTTTCAAAAGTACATATAAACACACATAAACAAATTCCTCTCTACTCATCTACTAAACACAGACATGTCAAAGATAATATAGATACTTTGATCATACAAACACACATAAACAAATTTCTCACTACTCATCTACTTAACACAGACATGTCAAAGATAATATAGATATTTTGATCTTTTACCCTACAAAAATACATACAAACACACATAAACAAATTCCTCTCTACTCATCTACTCAACACAGACATGTCAAATATAATATAGATACTTTGATCTTTTACCTTACAAAAGTACATACATCAGTTAACTATGAACTTGATCAGTTAACTATAACTTTGATCAGTTAACTTGAACATTGACCAGTTAACTATAACTTTGATCAGTTAACTATAACTTTGATCAGTTAACTATGAACTTGATCAGTTAACTATGACCTTGATCAGTTAACTATGACCTTGATCAGTTAACTATGACCTTGATCATGTAACTATAACCTTGATCAGTTAACTATGACCTTGTTAAAGTATCTATACATTTTATCTGGTATCTCAAACCTTGGTCCGGTGTCAATCGACATTCAAGCCTATCATTAACCTGTCACAAGATACACCGTACCATACCAAGACCGACTATTTATTATGACAAAATAACAACACAATGTTTGTAGTAAAATCTATATTCACATTAATCAATTCAAAAATTCTGTCAGCCTTTCATTCTTCTTTAACAACATTCTTCTTCTTTTCTGTGGGTTTTTTGTGTTTGGCATCATTGTTTTCCTCTGTCAATGCTAAAACCTTACTTGTAATTCCATGCTGGGAATAATACATTGTCATATTTAAATTTTTAAGTGCTTCTTCCACTTTTTTCCCTTCAAGTTCTTGTTTTTGTACACAAAGTTCCAACTGTTCGACCTTGTCGTTCAGAGACTTTATGGTGTCATTGAAAGCTTCATGTGCATCTTCAGCTTTTTGGTTTTGCCTACTTCTACCACTTACTTCAATATAAATTGCCAAAACAGCGAACATTAATATTGTGAATTCCCCTATGAAATCTCCGAACAGGTCCATAGCACGATCTATACTGACAGGCTCAACAGATTGGACTTTTCCAAGACCCAGTCCATAACTTCTCATTTGGACTGTTGTTCTCGTATACACTGCAAAAGAAACAGAAAAAAAGTTAACATATTTATAAACATATGTTAGAGTAAAGGGTACCACTGCATCCGTTTTTATCCCCAAGAAGAGTTCCACTTTATTCTTCCCTCTATATAGAAGATGAAACAACCTAAAGGAGTTTTTCTGGTTTAGATTAACTTCACCTTTCAAGTTTCATATGCCTCAAGGCCCAGAAATTGAACACTTCCTGTATCATTGGTGCAGTGTAGGCTTTAAAGTAAGGGTTCCCAGGTCCACCCCTACAGTTTTCATGTTTTCTTTTTTTCTTTTTCTTTTCAAATATTCAAACTTTGAACAACAACAATTCAGTCAAATACATAGCAACAGGTGACTTTTATGAAATAATTCTTTTGAATAATAACATATCTAGTTTAACGTTTTGGAGCCCTTTACCTTAATATATCTTACTACAATTGGAGAAAGTAACCTCCATCCGATCTCATGTCAAAGTTTTACTTTCTACACAAACAATGAATGTATTAAACGTGTAACAACATTGTGACAGGTTTAATATGTACATTGTTTGTGTAGAAGGTAAAACGTTGATATCACATATTTCCAAACTGATGAATCTTATTGAAGATACATCTGATCTAATCAGACTAGGGTTGTGTTACTAAGAAAATCGACAGATCTGGTGGTTTGCTTATTATTTCAGAATTGCTTTGAACAAAGCATGTCTAGTTTGTAGTTTTGCAGTTTCAATATACACCTGAACAAGAGGCCTAATGGGCCTGGTTTTAATCTCACACCAGCGACCTTAAAAGTGGACCATAGTAAAATATATTTGAATGGACTAAAATAAGCTACAGGCCAAATATTATTACCTATGACTCTTGGTTATTCAGAAGAACTTGTTAAAATATTTTGAACACATTTAACTCCTCTGACCTTGAACAGGGTCAAGGTCGTTCATTTGAACAAAATATGCAGCCCTTTAAACCAGCAAAGGCCTTTTGGTATTGATAACTTGTTTCAAGATTTGAAAACATTTGACCCCTGTGACCTTTAAAGTGGAACGAAGTAATTAATTTGAACAAACTTGATAGACCTAAACCATGGCATAAGCTTGTTGGCCCTAAAAGTCATATGACTAAAGCTGTATAAACTGTTGTTCTGTTATCAAGTGTATGAACTGTTGTTCTGTTATCTAGTGTATGAACTGTTGTTCTGTTATCAAGTATATGAACTGTTGTTCTGTTATCAAGGGTATGAACTGTTGTTCTGTTATCAAGGGTATGAATCGAGTTTGTGTTAACAAGTATATTAACTGTTCATTTTTTAACATATTTGCTTAAATGGAGTATGTTGGAGTATTAGATGATTGCTGAACGGGTGTTGGTGAAAATGAGTAACCTGGATGTGTGTTAGAGACTCATTTGATATTACCCCTTCCCGGGCCCTGCCAAACCCCCTTCCCACTGCCGAACCCCTTCCCCCTGCCATACCCCTTCCCACTGCCAAACCCTTTCCCACTGCCAAACCCCCTTCCCACTGCCAAACCCCTTCCCACTGCCAAATCCCCTTCCCACTGCCAAACCCCTTCCCACTGCCAAACCCCTTCCTACTGCCAAACCCTCTTCCCCTTGCCGAAATAAAAAATAGTCTGTAATATGCTGACTCATTTTTCGTAAACAAGCTGTTATTATTATGAACACAAGCTATTTACTTTCAAAAGTGGTCATGTGTGAACTTTGACCCTTTAACCTTGATATATGACCAACAAAATCTAATCAGGCGTAGAACTCAAATGTTACCATACTAAGGTGAAATATTAACTAAATTCGTTGAGAGATTCATAAATATCTTGTACACAAGCTTTTGTTTTTACTACAAAAGTGGTCAACTGTGATAATTGACTGACCTTTGGCCCATTAACCTTTACCAATGACTGCCAAAAATCTTACCAGATGTAGAACTTATTTTTACCAGACTATGGTGTAAATATCAATGAAATTTGTCCCGGGTTTCCCAAAATATCTTGTACACAATCTTTTCATTATAGACAGATGGACACATGAACAGTCGCACATGGACGCACTGACAAAGTGATTACTATAAAACCCCTAATTAAGTGGTAGTTTTATTAGGGCATATCACTGGATGTTCGTGTATGCTGGGACAGAAAATGACCTTTTTCATTATTCTAATGTGTTATTTCTAAAAATGAATAAATGGATTTGCAGAAAATTGTCATTCAAATTATCATTAAACAGGACAGTGAGACCAGAGGCTGAACACAGAGTCTGAACACAGAGGCTGAACACAGAGTCTGATGCACTGATGGAGAACGTGTTGAAAATTAACATTGTACAGAGCTGCTAACTAGTTTGCAAACATGCAAAAAGCTCAAAAATCAATAGGCACAAAATTATTTGCAATGCTTCAATAGGTTCTTTTGGGCTCACAATGTTGCGTAATTAATTTATATGGCAAACAAGATCCAAGTCCAATGCCCGTACTTCAAGCTATTATACCAGCGGATTTTATAGGACTGGTAATGGGCAAATTTCATCTCATAAAATTATGGTAATATCTTATTCTCTTTTATAAGATAACCCAAGTATTTAACAAACATATTTAGAAATGAAAACACCATCACTAGTTTATTTCCTATAAAACAACTTTAAGTCTCTCTTTTTGAATCTTTTTGCATTCTGTTGTTTTGGTATCAATAAATAGCAGAATAAATATTAACACAGGAACACCACTTGACTTCTTGTTTAAACCAAAATCTAATTTATCTCTATAAAAGTAGCTGATTCAGATATCTAAATTGAATCCTGCTTCATAGGTTCAAGTGAAAAAATCTGTATATTTGGATATTAAGTACTCCTGAAGTAGATTCCAATACCTGACGTAAGAAGTGTTTCGCTAGGTGTAATCTCACTGACTTGTAGAGCTGGGTTCTGAGTCGACCTATGGGTTTGCTAACACCTCTGAATATACCTATCGACCCAACACGACTCACGGACAAATATATCATATACACAGAAAGATCCTCAGGAACGGATATGGATTTGTACTTTGCTTCATTTCTTCTTTTGAATGCTTTAAAAGACCACATTTTACAACTGCTGTATTTGGAAACCAGCTACTGAACTGAAGTGATAACACGGCTGAGTGTATACATATATGCTGACTGGAATGTGGCTTTGGTGTAAATATTCTATGAGTGGTCGGAGCAGTTGTGAGTGAGAACGTTGAAGTAATGAGCGAGATGGAACAGTCAGCTTTGTTAAACAGCTACACGTACATTGCATGATGTTGATCCGATCCAATCGACACAACAACAACAAAAGTAACATGAATACATTAATTTGAAATCAGCTTCCATACTACAATGTATATATACCAAAAGGTAAATTAATCAATAAAGATGAGTCGACACAGTGATACAGTATAGGTAGGAGTGCGTTTGTTCCCCTGCGTAGAGTAATCCCTCACCAGCTGTAAACTTCAGGGTGATACTCCGGGTAGTGTGTACGAGGATGTGAAACAATGAAATCAAGCAACTAGTGCACTTCACACAAACTTTCCAACTGGATAGTTACAGCATCATGTCTAACCTAACTAACCTAACTACTGTGATGTCTGACCTACCTAACCTAACTACTGTGATGTCTGACCTACCCAACCTAACTACTGTGATGTCTGACCTAACTAACCTAACTACTGTGATGTCTAACCTAACTACTGTGATGCCTAACCTAACTGAAGTTATCGGTACTACCTTGTTGTCTAACCTGACTGATGTTACTACTGTGTTGTCTAACCGTACTGGAGTAACTAGTGCTATGGCGGTGACCTACCACCACAAAAGGTTGATAGGTAAGTCAGGATGCAGCCAGTCTTACATGGCTGACTATCCACTATATAGTGTACACACCAGACATGGGTATCACTTGTAATATAATAATGTCAGTGATAAAATCATGTACATCACTGAATCAGTTCAAATTTAATATTGTTTGGCAGCAAAATACACATATATCTTTAAAAAAATATTACTTCATACACAATATGTAAACATCATATCTTGCTAAGAAATAATCAATTTTATGACAATTTCAGATGATTTTTCCTGTCATTTTCTTGTAATAAAAAAGGAAATTGCAAATGAGACATTGGTGTTAGTTATTTGGTCAAATCAATGTTGTAGTTTATGAGGTCTGTGACACATGTTGTAGTTTATGGGGTTTTGGACACATGTTGTAGGTTATGGGGTTTTGGACACATGTTGTAGTTTATGGGGACTGTCACACATTTTGTAGGTTATGGGGTTTTGGACACATGTCATAGTGTATGGGGTCTGTGACATATGTTGTAGGTTATGGGGTTTTGGACACATGTTGTAGGTTATGGGGTTTTGGACACATGTTGTAGTTTATGGGGTATGTGACAGTTGCTGTAGGTTATGAGGTCTATGAGACATATTGTAAGTTACTGGGTCTATGACACATGTTGTAGGTTATGGTGTCTGTGACATATGTTGTAGTTTATGGGGCCAGTGAAACATGTTGTAGTTTATGGGGTCAGTGAGACATGTTGTAGGTTATGGGGTCTGTGACATAAGTTGTAGGTTATGGGGTTTTGGACACATGTTGTAGTCTATGGGGACTCTTGACACATGTTGTAGTGTATGGGGTTTTGGACACATGTTGTAGTTTATTGGGGTCTGTGACACATGTTGTAGGTTATGGGGTTTTGGACACATGTTGTAGTTTATGGGGACTCTTGACACATATTGTAGTTTATGGAGTTTTGGACACATGTTGTAGGTTATGGGGTTTTGGACACATGTTGTAGTTTATGGGGACTCTTGACACATGTTGTAGTTTATGGGGTTTTGGACACATGTTGTAGATTATGGGGTATGTGACAGATGCTGTAGGTTATGAGGTCTATGAGACATATTGTAATTTACTGGGTCTATGAGATATGCTGTTGTTTATGGTGTCTGTGGCATATGTTGTAGTTTATGGGGCCAGTGAAAACTGTTGTAGTTTATAGGGGTCTGGGAAACATGTTGTAGGTTATGGTGTCTGTGACATATGTTGTAGGTTATGGGGTCTATGAAGCATGTTTGTAGGTTATGGGGTCTATGAGACATATTATAGGTGATGGGGTCTATGAGACATTCTATAGGTTATGGGGTCTATGAGACATACTATAGGTTATGGGGTCTATGATACATACTGTTGGTTATGGGGTCTATGAGACATACTATAGGTTATGGGGTCTATGAGACATACTGTTGGTTATGGGTCTATGAAACATACTGTTGGTTATGGGGTTTATGATACATACTGTTGGTTATGGGGTCTATGAGACATACTATAGGTTATGGGGTCTATGAGACATACTGTTGGTTATGGGGTCTATGAGACATACTATAGGTTATGGGGTCTATGAGACATACTATAGGTTATGGGGTCTATGATACATACTGTTGGTTATGGGTCTATGAGACATACTTTAGGTTATGGGGTCTATAAAACATACTGTAGGTTATTGGGTCTATGAGACATATTATAGGTTATTGGGTCTATGAGACATACTATAGGTTATGGGGTCTATAAGACATGCTGTAGGTTATGGGGTCCATGAGACATAATATAGGTGATGGGGTCTATGAGACATACTATAGGTTATGGGGTCTATGAGACATACTATAGGTTATGGGGTCAATGAGACATACTGTAGGTTATGGGGTCCATGAGACATACTTTAGGTGATGGGGTCTATGAGACATACTATAGGTTATGGGGTCTATGAGACATACTGTAGGTTATGGGGTCTATTAGACATACTGTAGGTTATGGGGACTATGAGACATGCTGTAGGTTATGGGGTCCATGAAACATACTATAGGTTATGGGGTCTAAAAGACATACTGTAGGTTATGAGGTCTATGAGACATGCTGTAGGTTATGGGGTCTATGAGATATGCTGTAGGTTATGGGGTCTATGAGACATGCTGTAGGTTATGGGGTCTATGAGACATTCTATAGGTTATGGGGTCCATGAGACATACTATAGGTTATGGGGTCCGTGAGACATAATAAAGGTGATGGGGTCTATGAGACATACTATAGGTTATGGGGTCTATGAGACATAATGTAGGTTATCGGGTCTATGAGACATACTGTAGGTTATGGGGTCAATGAGACATAATATAGGTTATGGGGTCTATGAGACATACTATAGGCTATGGGGTCTATGAGACATACTGTAGGTTATGGGGTCTATTAGACTTACTGTAGGTTATGGGGGCTATGAGATATGCTGTAGGTTATGGGGTCCATGAAACATACTATAGGATAATTATGGGGTCTATAAGACATACTGTAGGTTATGAGGTCTATGAGACATGCCGTAGGTTATGGGGTCTATGAGACATGCTGTAGGTTAAGGGGTCTATGAGATATGCTGTAGGTTATGGGGTCTATGAGACATGCTGTAGGTTATGGGGTCTAAGAGACATGCTGTAGGTTATGGGGTCTAAGAGACATGCTGTAGGTTATGGGGTCTAAGAGACATTCTGTAGGTTATGGGGTCTAAGAGACATGCTGTAGGTTATGGGGTCTAAGAGACATTCTATAGGTTACGGGGTCCATGAGACATGCTGTAGGTTATGGGGTCTATGAGACATACTGTAGGTTATGGGGTCTAAGAGACATTCTATAGGTTACAGGGTCCATGAGACATGCTGTAGGTTATGGGGTCTATGAGACATGCTGTAGGTTATGGGGTCTAAGAGACATTCTATAGGTTACGGGGTCCATGAGACATACTATAGTGTTTACAGATCTGGGAAATGACACCATTAAATGAAGTTCAATGATTCCTGTGTATTTAAACAAAAGCATCACTTTAATATACTTCAAGTATATTCATGAAAGTATTAGACCCTAGCTTTTTTTAAACTTTGGTCTCAAACATGCAACATTTTTGATATGTGTCATAAAATTAGAAATATTATATTGATATCCTCTTCAATTTTCTTGACTTTAAAACGAGAAAGTTGATACAGAGAATGTAAACATTTCATTTTTAATAATAGATCCCACTGGGATCTTCGAGCTGACATTCAATCTATGCTTTTTCCTCTTTCCCTCTTCTTTTTTGTTAGATTATTTATTAGGTCACCAGCTATCATAATCTTGTGACTTTTTATCTAAACTTCATAAAGAAGTTTTCAAGTTTTGTATTTCACTTTGAAAAGGATGACATGAAATCTTCCATTAAAAATCAAAGCAAGCAGGATTTCTATACTGTCAGTTATAATCATCACGAGATCTCACACATCGTCAAGTGTGAAATTTGACTCTTTAACATTGACTGATGCCAAAAAAAATTGAAACAGGTGTTTAAACCTATTGTATATACATGTACATGTAAGCATCATACCATAGAATGAATATACTTTGAATTTGTTGAGAGAATGGTGAGATATTTTGTAAAAAGTGTTCAAATGTGACCTTGGACCCTATAACCTTGACCAATGATCACTAAAATCTAATCTGGTATAGAAGTTATACCTCCATGCTATGGTTTAAATAGATACTTTATCTTTTGAGTTATTTTTGATCTATATCAAAATGAAATATGCAAAGCTATAAGAACCAGGGGAAACCTACAAAAATCTTAAAGCAGGGATCTCCATACTTTTTTGAAGAGTAGCAATATCAAAGTTGAATTGTCCAAAATACAACAAGGCAGTATATGGTGGCCATCTTGTTCTTCTGATCAGTCCTAAGACACGCATAACAAAGGACCAAGGGAAACCTAAATATGAAATTTGGGGTTTCTCCAACACTGCTTGAAAAAGTGTGATAACTTAAACAGCCAAAATCAAAGATTGTCACTTGATGGCAATCTTAATTTTCCAATATGATTACATTAACGAAAGATCCCTCCAGTATTTCATCAGAAATGACAGTAACAGATGACAGATGAGCAAATCATCATATAGGACCATCTAAACACTTCTCTTAATTTTAGTTTTAACACTGATAACACTCACCGACATATTGAACAGTAAACAATTAAGATCTTAAAATATTTGAAATGGAAGGTTTATCTTACAAAATATCTAACAAGATTCCTCTTGCTGATTAAGTAATTATCATGTACGGCTCCATGCATACTTGCCAACTCTCCCTATTTAGGAGGGAGACTCCCGATTTTGGACCCAAAAATTGAGCATTTTCAACCAGTGAATTTGCTTAATGTTCCTATATTCTAAGATCTAATTATTTCATTCGAAAGAACAACTCAACTTCTGTCATTTTAACTGTTTATGTTGCCTCTAGTGGATGTATACACACATTTCATTTATGTCTTAACTATCTCCCCCGTGCATGTTCAAGGTTAAAACCAGTTCAACAATACATTTATGCTGGAGAAGAAAACTCAAAATCAGAATAGTAAATGACCTTAGTCCAGCAGGTGAGAAAAGCTGAAAGTGAAAGTAGAACTGACCCACAACGGGTACTTACATTGAGCAACAGGCATAATCACAGAGGTTTTAACCCACGGTGACTTCTTAGCTGCTCTCTTTATGGTATTTGCTATCGGTTTGCCAATCAGCTGTTTTCCTACTAGTGTAAATAGCTTGATCAAAGGTAAAGGCATGGTCGTTTATGCTCCCACGACCGTTACCGTCAAAGTACCGGAAATGATAAACCTTGAGCTGCGCATGCTTGAGCCACATGCGTGAAAAACAAAATACGAATCCTGAAGAAAACATTCCTTTTACATTGTTTTTCAAAATTTCAACCTCAAATCAATTTTTATGAACGTCAGACATGAGAAAGGTAATATCCCAAAACAATGTAATTTTCGTACTTACTTGTTATGGTTGTGTATTCCATGCCGCTAATGAATATTTATGAGAAGGGACAGCTAATGTTTATCAATGGCTGCCGACTAAGCGGTAGAAGTCGGTGTAAATGTTATGTGGGACACAATAGGTACACACAGCGAGAGACAAGATGGGTTTAATACGTAAGTACCAATGTCATTATTCAAATAATATAAACATAATGTTATCATAACTGCTCGATACTGTTATATTAAATATGATGCATAGAATTTATATCGTTAATACATGATGTTCGAAATGTAAACATTGCATAAAAGAAGAATGTCATTTTCAAACAACTGACAAAATAACATATTATTCTTTGATCTTAACATAATCAAAAATTATGATAAATGTATCTTTATTGAAACAGTTGTTTTGTGTGAAGTTTATCAGGGGGAGGGGGTGATCTCTTAAATTTTGGAAAATATAACGGTAGGCCTACAGTAGGCCTACAACAGCAGCACATCAGGCCTATTACAAATGTTTGCATGGCTGTCCGGTGTTGGTTAATTAAATTTTGCTGCAAACACTGTGATATAAATATAGTAGATGTCATACCTTGGTATATATATAAAGAAAAAAAGCTGAGGATGCTGAGATACAATGACTGTATCAGTTACATTTTGTTGAGGTCTGACTCAGGTCTGAGTTGGACCCTAGTACTGTCATGTGGAGGTCTGAGTTAGACCCTAGTACTGTCAAATAAGGATACTACGTTTTAGTTGTTGTAAGCATTTACATTGTGTTAATCTTAAGTACATACAGTGCATGTTTTTTTTTAAGGAATCAGAAATTTGCATCAAAATATTGGATGCATGAGCATGTTTTGTTTTATTATATGACTGGTGTTAATTCCCAGCCCTGATTGGAGGAGCGACGTCATGTGACGAGTCTGTAAATATGTTACAGACCTCTTTCTATGAATAGAAAAGTGTTACAAACCTCGACCTATAAAAAGAAAAGTGTTACAAACCGCTACTAAGAATAGGCCTAGGTAATTTCCCAGCCAGTCTGTAATTCTGTTACCAATTACACTACTGAATTAAACTTAACATGAATTATCTCATAAAATTCTGACCTATGTGAATATTGATGATGTCGATTGTGCAAATAATATTTTCTTAAAATTAAATATCACATGAATTGAATCTGAAATGAAATTTGTGTATGCTATTTTGTATTTGAAGTCCTTCACTCTGTGATTCCAAAATGGTCCATGCCATCCATGTGTTTATGACTTGAAAAAATATTAATCTCATTGTAAAATGTCATATTTTAAGGCAATTGTGGACTTCAGTTTCGGTCTATCCCTGATTTATGGACCTAGTCTGAAAAATATTCACCTCGGCCTTCGGCCTCTGTGAATATTGTTCAGACAAGGTCTGTAAATCAGGGATAGACCTCACCTGAAGTCCACAGTATAATATATTTATATATCATCTCACTAAAAATAAGCTGTAGTTAATTTTATTTGTTTTAATTCTACTAAGATATTTTAATTTAAATAAAGGTATCACATTTCAGCAACCTGGGGTCGTTTTTTGAAAGCCTGGTTAGCTTTACAGGACATCAACACAAAGTATCAAAACGCTATGTTTGAGAAACAATTTGGAGTGAACAAGTCCTGTATGTAGATACAAAATTTGAGATCTCTGTTCTCTGTATATGTAGTTTATGTACCTCTAAATTTTCATATTTTAAAAAATGTGGTTTATCTGGAGGATTTGTGTTAATTTTTGGATAAGATAGTAAGTTGCAGGTATAGTAGAGATTAAATGAAAAGCAAATCACTAGACTCCTAGGTACCATTTTTTACAGGCCTTCAATGGGTTGGATGGATATAGAAGGCCTTACTAGCCTACTTAATTGTATTTGCATATTGCATCTGAGGATTGCATGGGGACACATGACATTCTTCCGTCGAAGATGCAATGTACCTCAATGTGAACAATGCTAGAACACTCTTCCTACATTTTGGATCAAGGAATAGTAGTTTTCCTCAAGTTCGATACCCTGCCTTTTACAATCAATTAATGTCGAACACAAAGTTGGAAGTTTTAGCTCACCTGGCCTGAAGGGCCAAGTGAGCTTATACCATGGCGCAGCGTCCGTTGTCCGTCAACTTTTCCCTTTAAACCCCTACTAGTCCTCAAACGGCTCATACGATTTTGACCAAATTTGGTCTGGAGTATCATTGGCCAAAGGGTTCTCAGTTTTGTATAAACGGAGTGTATGGTTTCCCACGGGGCAGAGGGGTGGGGCCAAATAGGGGGAAAATAGGTAAATCTTCTTCTTCTTCTCAACCAATTGAAGGATTTTGACCAAATGTGTTCTAGAGCATCTTTGGACAAAGGAGCCTCAAGTTTGTTTAAACAGAGGGTGTGGTCCCTCTGGGGGCATAGGGGCGGGGTGCCCCAATAGGGGAAATGGAGGGATTTTTCTCTCCTACTTTACCAGTAAAGGGATATAAATCAAATGCAGTCTGAAGCATGCCTAGGGACAAAAGAATCAATTTTGTATAAATTGAGGTGTGTGGACCCCCTTTTTGGGGGCAGATGGGTGGGGCCCATTAAGGGAAATAGTGAAAAAGATTTTCCCTTCTGTACAAATGAAGGGATTTAAACCAAATGTGGTCTGAAGCATGCTTAGGGGAAAAAAACTCAATTTGTTTAATTTGTATAAAAGGGTGCATGTGAGGCCCAATAGGGGAAATAGAGGAAAATTGTGACTTAACATGGAAACTCATTTTCATTTATATGTAGTTCTTGCAATGTGTTTCTTGTATTCCTTTGATAAACCTGTATGGTACTCAGCAGGTTTTAAATTGAAAAATAAAATACCGGGTAAGCTATTAAGGCCCCGGGCTTCTTGTTAATATTTCCTAATTCTGACTGTACTGTAGACCTTTGGCCTACCTAAATATTGTCATATAATTTGCAAGTCACGACATATTCTGGTACACTATAGATTTTAGGTAGCAACCTATGTCATATTGTGCAATGACGGCTATGTTATTCACTAGCTAGTACTGTGTGTATCAACTTATTACAGAGTGTTTGATTGGATATGATAAGAATCATATGAATGGGAAATATGTTTCCATGACATGCATTGGTTGCCTTGGTCATATTTTTCTTATATGGAGCCTCAAAAAATGAAAAGTTTTGTCAACAAGTATTTTTGTAACTAAAGATGGGATTTTTTCTTTGAACCATCTAGTTTTATCCAGTAGATTTGTTTTAATCATAAACATGGTATGTAAATCTATGGAAGTTTGTACATTTTTTACCTATCCGTGTTACTAGATATACCAGACCAGATCTTAAGGTAAACGAAATCAAAATATTCCTTTCAATATGGCAAAATTTTGATATTAGTCACAACCTATTAAAGATAAAAATGGAAAATAAATGTAATGTCCATTGCATGATTCATGATATTGATAGATAGACCAGTATGTGATGAGATTATTGATCAGCAAATGTCAGTATGTGATGAGATAAATAGACCAGTATGTGATAAGATAGATAGACCAGTATGCGATGAGATAGATAGACCAATTTGTGATTAGATAGATAGACCAATATGTGATGAGATAGATAGGCCAGTATGTGATGAGATTATGGATAGATAGACCAGTATGTAATGAGATAGATAGACCAATTTGTGATTAGATAGATAGATCAGTATGTGATGAGATAGGTAGACCAGGATGTGATGAGATAGATACACCAGTTTGTGATTAGATAGCTAGACCAGTATGTGATGGGATAGATAGACCAGTATGTATGAGATAGATAGACCACTTTGTGATTAGATAGATAGCCCAGTATGTGATGAGATATATAGACCAGTATGTTATGAAATAGATATACCAGTTTTTGATTAAATAGATAGACCAGTAAGAGATGAGATAGATAGACCGGTATGTGATGAGATAGATAAACCAGTTTGTGATTAGATAGCTAGACCAGTATGTGATGGGATAGATAGACCAGTTTATGATGAAAGAGATAGACCAGTATGGGATGAGATTATTGATCAGCAAATGTCAGTATGTGATGAGATAAATAGACCAGTATGTGATTAGATAGATAGACCATTATGTGATGAGATAGATAAACCAGTATGTGATGAGACAGATAGACCAGTTTGTGATTTGATAGATAGACCAGTTTGCGATGAGATAGATAGACCTGTATGTGATGAGATAGAGAGACCAGTATGTGATGAGAAAGATAGACCAGTTTGTGATGAGAGAGATAGACCAGTATGTGATCAGATAGATAGACCAGTATGAGATGAGATAGATAGAGCAGTATGTGATGAGATAGATAGACCAGTATGTGATGAGATTATTGATCAGCAAATGTCCCAGTTGGAAATGATGATGGCTACTATTTTGATATCTGACACATAATCATTTACAATATACAGGGAATCAGTTATCTTATAGATCTTGATAATTGGTACTGAAGCTGGATCATCAGTTGTGTATTGGATTGTCCATTTATCTGTTAAGCTGACGCATGAAACTGGAATTGCTCGGGGTGTTCGTTAAGGATGAGACAAGGAAACTTCTATATCACAAACAGGAGTGTGTCATGGATGTTCATTCTTGCAGAGACAAGTTTTTATATGTCATATAGGCATTTGTCAGGGGTAAAACAAGGAAGCTTTTATATACGCATCTCCAACAGGAGTTTGTTGGTTATGATCATTCAGGGTGAGACAAGCTTTTAGATGATACAGAAATTTGTCGGGTAATTTAATGTTGTATGCTGCTACTATACCTTGAAAGATTTTTTTC